CTTAAAAGATATTGGGTTTGATGCCTCAGTGTTGACATCTCAAAAATGATCAGTGTCGACGCCATTGTGCTCGCGTCTTAAAAATGTTTAATGTTGATGTCGCAGTGCTGACATCTTGAAAATATTCTTGGTTTGACGTAGCCTTGTTGACGTCCCAAAAAAGAAAAAAACTACTCTCGTAGACTGGAGTATTATAAATGAATTGAAGAGTTCTACTCCACTTTGCTGAAGTATCAAAAATGATAAAAAAATATTTATCGCTGTTCTGACCTGTCAAGAAGCCCAGTACAGCATAAGATCCATCGGTTGAAGAACCCAAGTGGCCGGCGCACAGAACAACGCCAACAGTTCTCTCCATTCTCTGCCGGCCTTGCCCATTGTGCGACAGCGTCAAAATAATGCCCCAATTGGCTGCCCCTGTACACACAACAATATAAAGTCTTATTAAAACTATCAGACAATAAATTTTTAGATACAAATATTAAAGTAATTTTTCATAATGAATGAGACAAAGATTATTAAATTTTATAGTTCCTCATGCTAATGTAGATAAAAGTAGTTTGAATTAATTATATATATTATGAAAAAAAGATAGCAAAGTTTTATACATGACTTTTTATGAATCATTACAATCATTACAATATTGGAAGTCTTGTATAAATACCTGTAGGAGTATTCCAATATATTATTTGCTCTGTTAAATAAACAATAGTCAACATCTATTGAATAAAATTGTTGTTTTATACCCTATTATTTTTTATTTATACTCCCTGAACTTTACAAACAATTAAAAATTAAGCCTGAAATATATTTGACAGTTTCTTTGTGAACGTTAATGCCATAAAATTTGCTTAGTTGATGTCTTAAAAATAATTGAAGGTTTCATGTCCATGTCCTTACATCTTATGTAAAATTCTAGGCTGTTCAGATATGCTCAAATGACTCAATTTTATAGGATTCAGTGTGTTAGTATCTTAAAATTGAATGGGATTGGCTTCTCTATGCTGATTTCTTTAAAATAACAACTGCTGTGATGGAGTATAAAAAATTATAAAGATTCGCTGTGCCTACCATCCTCGGTGGCCTGGTCCAGTGTGTGGAGGTACAGAGCGGCTGCCCCACAGAACAACACATCTCTCTATTCTTCGCCTGCTTCCTGGTGGTTGCTCCTGCTACATTATAAAATATTCATTCATACATGAATTATAATTAGAGTTGATTAGAAACTCACCTGCCAGTAACTTCACAGCTGCTCCAGGAAGACTCCAGTGACGACAGCAGTGTGGAGATGTTATGTTGTGTGTTGTTCCATTGGAAGCGTGCCGTTGTACCTAACACTGTGTAGTGGGGCCCTAGATGACGGATGGGACAGAGCCCGTTGACCGTCCCGCAACATCTCTGCTGAGGTAGGGGCAACGGAACACTGCCACCATCCGGGAGTGTGTGAGGGTGGACGTGTACTTATAGTACGTGGGCTGGCGAGTGGGGGTGTGGAGTGTTGTTAACGACCCGCCCAATATGGTACTGGGAGCGTAGACACTCGTGTAACAGAACCCCGGCTCGTAAAACTGGGGGTCTATGGCTCTGAATGGTGTCAGTGGGGAGCCGGGGGTGGGGGGTGTGGTGTATGTAACCGTCCCTCCCCCCTTCTCCCTGTAACCATGGAAACCACACCGTCAGTACTTATACACACTTCCAATGAAATAATACTAGCAAGTTACTATATATAATTTATTTTGCAGATGATTTTAATCCTGGTGTACTGTAGAATAACCTTCAAAGATGTTTCATTAAACTTTTAACACCAATTTCTTTCTCAATAACTCTAATTCTAAAAGTGATCCAGTAAGTTACAGGCCATCTCTCTACTACCTCCCACATTTACTCAAAAATATCCAAAAGAATAATATTAAGATAATTGAGAAAAGCACTTCGAGGATAAGAATCCACTCAAACCTAACATTTAAATACCAACCAAGACATTCTCATCATTATACCAGCTAGAGATTATATATGAAAATGATGAAAAATGCAATTGAACTAAGTCAAATGAATAGAGCTGTTTTTTTCACATATCAAAATATTTTTAAAAAGGACCAATATGAGGCCCTTCTTTACAATATTTTAATGAAAATATTCCATTATATGTTATATATCATTTGATGCTGTGCTCATATTTTAAAAATATTCAGGGTTTGACAGTTTTCACGTCTTAAAAATATTCACTGTTCGACGCCATTTTACTCACGTCTTAAAAATATTAACAAAAAATCAATGAGATATCATTAAATTCCAGGAAACACCTAATGTTGGCAGCAGTCAATAATCTCCTAGCCGAAGTTTCCTCAATGGTCAGGTACAAACCGTTCTTTTTGGCGAATATATCGAAAATATCTCCTATATTGAAGACACTTATTTCACTATCAGCTAACGACACGGCCATTTTATTCTTGGCATTCACCTGAAACACAAGAAGCCTCTAACTTTCCAACGACTTTGTGCGAAATTGACGAGCTACGCCAACCTTCAAACAAAAACGGTTAAAATTAAAAATACATCTGGATCAAGTATTTTCATGACAAAATGAGATGGAAATACAATGTGGAAATATCTAATACACATCTCTATCTGATTGAATCGAGCAAAGCAGCACAAGATAAATTAGCCCCATTATTATGACAGAAAATAAAACTCTATTTAAATTGCAAAAGCACCATTTACACACAAATATTAATATTGATTCCATCTCTGGGCAACCGATTTGATCACAACATCCAGGAATAAATTTAGAATATTGGAAAAATCCCTAAGTCGGTAAAAACTATCTAATGACTAGAAACATAAGTGAATAGGTATTAAAACGATCCTTCAAATTTCATGGTATAAAAACTGGGAAACGCTATCTTCAAAGAATCCTTTACCTATATATATGAGATACATAAAAATAAAATTAAACAGAAGCAGATTCTCTATCAAATAGTTTTCAAATGACAGGTCGAAAATGAAAAAGGAGAGAAATGCCTTTTAATTCTCAATAAGCCAGGACAAGAAATCTTCCAAGCTCAAGATCAAATTTCCAAGTACAAAATTTTATGAATAAAGATATACTATTTCCTTTAATATGTTTGTGAATTTTTAAACTCATATTTATCACTATATGTAAATATTATGGTATGTTTTGTTCTTTCTGAGTGGTGTGTAGCTAATAAAGTTATTATGAATCTGAATACTTCAAAATACAAACTGCATCATACTTAAATGTATAAGTATTTGGCATTTCTTTATAAATTAAGCAAGTGTAATATACCTTTTCAAAAAATAAAACAACAGCGTTCAGTTGATATTTTTACCCAATGCATTTCAGTAAGCATCAGCAACATTCATTTACATGATAAAGATGAATAATTTCATTTTGTTTCCAATCTGAACATTCTCTTAACTACAGTTAAACTGTGTTATAGGAAGTTTGTGTAATGTTAAGAATGGGTGGTGAGTGTATTGTGTACTGGTTTTGGAGATGTTGAGTGAGTAGGTCGTAGTCCTGAAGAACAGCCATTAAGAGATTGTGCTGGTGCTATGTGATGTAGGCTACAGTAGCAGACTTCTAAAGTAAGAAGATCTTCAGTGAGATCAGAGCTGATGTCGAAGTTTTAAGAAAACTGTTACATGAGCGATAGACAACTAAAAAACCAACCCAATGTACATATTGTGAGATATGAGAATGTATTTATCTGCCGAGGTAATATGCTAGGTGAGGAGATTAACTAATAAAAGAATATTTGCAAGTTGTTGTTCAACATGTCAGTTTCAGAGATTATATAATTAAGCGCTTCCTTTTTTTTCTTTCCTTTCAACTGTTTCATTGATTGTTATTACTTCCATATTCAGGTGGTTTATAATACAGGAATTGTGATACATTGTCGTGGTTATGTAAATTACAATATGTTATTACTATTAGTGAACAACCCTGACACAATACCAATTTTATTCTTCCTTTACCATAGGTATGTGAGAAATTGACCTTTCCTCATTGCGGAGGATGAAGAACGCTTTAGAGTACTAAATCAAGAAGGGGCAAAGCAAAGACCGTGATAAAATCTCAACTCCATCCTTTCATTCCTTTGAAGGGGAAGCGGTTTATAAAAACGTATGAACCTACTATTAGGTCAGCTGTATATGGATCAGGAAGGTAAAGGGAACAACTGAATTTTATTTTCACAAAATATCTTAGTGAAATTCTCAACTGGGTACCAAAGGAATATCTTAATACCAGATTATCACTACATAGATTTCTTCAATTCAGGCACGTTGTAATTTTGATTTTAAAATGGAGGTTCATAAATAAAAATTGTAATTTATTTTATTAATCTATATATATGTCGACTTTTCAATGTGACAATATAGTGGTAAATGTGTTGAGGAGAGAAATAATCACACGACGAGTTGTTAGAGCAATCATCCAGCCAGCCAGCCGAGAGAGAGCGAGCGAGACGTTATCAGCTGAACGACTGTTTTCCCTGTGTACACAACCGGGGGGGCTAACCAGGATAGTCGCCAGGTGGTGACGCCCCCCTCAGGAATGTGGCCAAAAAATGGTCGTTAGTTAGTTGTCTAAAGTGTCTCGCTTTAGCGGCCCATTTCTCTCTCGTTGGCTGTTGGTTTGTTTTATTAATCCTGGAAGAGCATATATTATGATATATATATATATATAAATGAATGTGTGTCTGTCTGTACTCGATAGATTCAAAAACCATATATCCAATCGCCGTGAAAATTTGGGAAATTATTAAGTATACTAGACGAATGGCCCGGGCAACGCCCGGGTTTTACCCGACTGCGAATATATTTTAAAAACGTTTTAATTCAAATACTTTTCGTTACAATTATAAATTGGCGCCATGGATGTCACTCTTGTGAAACGTCCCGTTCCAAACTGTGTGTTTTTAAAATGTTTTAACTATATATAATATAACGGTATAATAACGGTATAAAGAAATAATGAGCCTATAGCCTAGTGGTCATGGCATCTGCCTGGTAAGCGGAAGGTCGTGGGTTCGATTCGCATCCCTTGACACTTTTTTTTATTTTATCCATTCTGACCAAAATCTATCCGTGAACTTCACACAGACAGAATAAGGCAATTATATAAGTAGACTGCCCGGTAAGCGGAAGGTCGTGGGTTCGATTCCCATCCCTTGACACTTTTTTTATTTTATCCATTCTGACCAAAATCTATCCGTGAACTTCACACAGTGAACTTCACACAGACAGAATAAGGCAATTATATAAGTAGATCTTCATCTTGTCTACACCTTGTATACATCTTGCTTCCTAGGGTTGCCTAGAGTGGCCGCTATAGACAGGGTGGTCTGTATAGACAGGTGGATGTATCACACAGCTGATAACAGGGTTGCCTAGAGTGGCCGCTATAGACAGGGTGGTCTGTATAGACAGGTGGATGTAACACACTGCTGATAACAGGGTTGTCTAGAGTGGTCGCTATAGACAGGGTGGTCTGTATAGACAGGTGTATGTATCACACTGCTGATAACAGGGTTGCCTAAAGTGACCGCTGTAGACAGGGTGGTCTGTATAGACAGGTGAATGTAACACACTGATGATAACAGGGTTGCCTAAAGTGACCGCTATAGACAGGGTAGTCTGTATAGACAGGTGGATGTAGCACACTGCTGATAAAATTGGCGCCATGGATGTCACTCTTGTGAAACGTCCCGTTCCAAACTGTGTGTTTTTAAAATGTTTTAACTATATATAATATAACGGTATAAAGAAATAATGAGCCTATAGCCTAGTGGTCATGGCATCTGCCCGGTAAGCGGAAGGTCGTGGGTTCGATTCCCATCCCTTGACCTTGTATACATCTTGCTTCCTAGGGTTGCCTAGAGTGGCCGCTATAGACAGGGTGGTCTGTATAGACAGGTGGATGTATCACACAGCTGATAACAGGGTTGCCTAGAGTGGCCGCTATAGACAGGGTGGTCTGTATAGACAGGTGGATGTATCACACAGCTGATAACAGGGTTGTCTAGAGTGGTCGCTATAGACAGGGTGGTCTGTATAGACAGGTGTATGTATCACACTGCTGATAACAGGGTTGCCTAAAGTGACCGCTATAGACAGGGTGGTCTGTATAGACAGGTGAATGTAACACACTGATGATAACAGGGTTGTCTAAAGTGACCGCTATAGACAGGGTGGTCTGTATAGACAGGTGGATGTAACACACTGCTGATAACAGGGTTGTCTAGAATGGCCGCTATAGACAGGTGTATGTATCACACAGCTGATAACAGGGTTGTCTAGAGGGGGGCAGGGAGGCCACGTGTTCGCCGGCAGCCAATGGGCGCGCATTCTATCCGTGAACTTCAGACAGTGAACTTCAGACAGTGAACTTCAGACAGACAGAATAAGGCAATTATATAAGTATATTTCATGATTATGTTTAATAATTACTGAATTATTGTTCCATTTAAATTCGTTTACAATATTGTTTAATATCATAATTGAAAAAGCATGTTTTTTCTACCATCAACTATGTATATCTATGTTTTGTACATATATTATTTTCAAATAACATATATATAGGGATAATTTTATTGTTAATTTTCATTTTTATGTATTGAATAAATTTGATCATTAAAAATTATGTTTGAGGTATCAAAACTGCCTTTTTGTTCCAACACAGCAACGTGTGAACAGCTAGGTGGAGCAAAGTATCAAACATAAAGTTATCTTGACAAGTATAGATTCAGTAGGGATTGGATGTTTGCTAGAATCGTTCTAAAAAATGTTGGTTAGAAAAACTTTTACTTGGGTAAAAACCAGGCGAAGCCGGGTACATTCGCTAGTTAATTAATAAAACACAAAGTATAAGGTGTTATGTATGGAATAGCATATTGGGTCAATGGTCAAATGGACAGCCCAGAAAACTATTCACATAATGCATTAGTCATTTCCTTGTTTCAGTTTTTTTCTGTTCTGAGGATCAGATTTGGTTGATTAGATCATGTAATTAAACCAATTTTCAACTTTTTATTTAGAGTTTTTTTTTTTTTTTTTGAATCGTGAGTATAGAGAGATCAGCCACAAATAGAGGTTAATGATTGAGCTCTGTAACAACGAAATTGAACGACAGATAATTAGAAATTATTAATTTGGGCTTATAGAGTTTATTATATCTATAATAGCAATATATATCAGATAAAAACACCATTATGAAACGATTGAAAATTTTGTGAAAATATTGAATATTTATAGTTCTAAAATTTGATATTAGCACTCCAAAGCCACGGAATTAGCTGAGGGATTCAGAAACAGATTGGCATCATTTGGAATTTGATTATGAAGGTTTTATATAAGATTTTCAATATATAGAGAATGAGTTTATCATTGTTTATTATCAGCGTAAATATATTTTAGAAATGACATCTTTGGATAAATTTCAGCCTGGTGACTTTTTGTTTATCATAAATTTGACACTTACTTCCTGTCCTTCTTTTTCTTAAAACATTTAAAAAACTTAAAACATCCCATCTTGTCGTTGATTACTCAGTTAGCTTCGATCACTTGCTCGATATCGCTTATTTGTGGCGTTGCGAGGATCCAACAAATAACTTGTGAGACGCTATTAAATATCTTTTATTATATTATTAGAATTTATGTTCAATATATACATTGAGGACATCATAACGATGTATGGCTTGGAGACTGAGATCTTGATGGATCCTCTGCTATCAATTCTATTATGGATAACTTCGTCAAAACTTGACTAATGTATTTCTTTCTGATAATATTACGATTTGAATTCAAATTTATTCTCTAATTAAATAATATTGACTCTATATCTTTGGTGAAAACTAGCGAAAATCGCAAAATTCTCGAAAAACCACTCCTTACATTGGAGCACCCAGTCTTTCACGCCATTAAAGTCGTTTATAACATACTAAATCGCACACCTGGACGGTTACATTCATTGAGGAAAATTCAAGCTTCATTTAATATAACAGTGTACAGGGTGTGGTAGATAAGTAATGAGACTCAGTCTAGAAAAACAAATTTATTGATCCGATTTGTACAAAACGTTAATATTCTTCAAATAACTCGCCTTGGGCGTCGACACAATGTTGCCAGCTAGTTTTCCAAGCTTCATAGGCCCCACTGTAGTCCGTTGGAGTTATCCCAGTTAGTGCCTTCGTGACAGCACGTTGGATGTTCGGGATATCGTCGAAACGATGACCCTTCAGGCATCTTTTAACCTTCGGGAATGGGAATAAATCAGGAGGACTCATGTCAGGGCTGTATGGTGGCTGTGGCAGAACTTCAACTCCAATTCGGGTCGAATAGGAGGTCACGAGGAACGCTGAGTGCGCCGGAGCGTTGTCATGGTGGAGACGCCAGCGTTGAGCAAGGTCCTGTCTCTTCCGTTTGTGCAATCGCCAAAGGACTTCTTTGTAGAATTCGGCATTAACAGTTTTCACCTGAGGGACAAACTCTTTGTGGATTAACCCCTGCTTGTCGAAAAACATAATCAGCATTGTCTTGACTCGGGACTTTGACATTCTTGCTTTCTTCGGCCGCGGGGATGCCGGTGTGTGCCACTCCGAGCTCTGGGCTTTCGTCTCCGGGTCGTATTGGAATGTCCACGATTCGTCGCCTGTTACTACGTTGTCTGAAAAGTCTGGATTATTTTCCAATTCATTCAACATCCCACGGCAAACGTCCACTCGTCGTTGCTTTTGTTCGGCGGTGAGCACTCAGGGAACCAATTTCGCGCAAACTTTCCTCATCATCAAATCTTGCGTAACAATTTGGTGAACCGTAAATTTATTCACGGAGACCTCATCGGGGATCATTTTGAGACTTAAACGACGGCCGGAGTCCAGGAGTTCTTTCACTTTGGCCACCGTTTCATCCACACGACTCGTTGAAGGGCGTCCAAATCGTTCCGTGTCTTAAATTCTTTAAACCACCGGAACACTTGAGTTCTTGATTGGGAGTCCTCTTTGTAGGCCTCCGTAATCATAGCAAAAGTTTTCGAATCAGTTTTGCCAAAGCGAAAGCAAAATTTGATTGCATAACGCTGTTCTATCGAGCGATCCATCTTCAACGTTTTCACAAGTGTCACGGGCACACAAACAACGTAATACGCGAAGCTCGACTCTCACTGCGCCAGAGCTACGACGCGACTGCGAACCGGTTCTATTGTTAGCTCAGATCCCCCACACACCACGTGACCTGCAGGTGGAGAACGCACTGCGAGCGACTGGGGCGCCGTGCGGCAGCCAGTCTCATTACTTATCTACCGCACCCTGTATTTACATTTCAGCGGCTAAATAACACTAGTTTTAGACGCGTATGATTCTTTTAAAAATAAAACAATTTCTACTGCCCTTACTGCAATGGAAAAATTAATGGGAGTCCTGGCTCATTAGTGATGAACCCTCCCAGCGGTTTCGCCAATTTAATTTACCATACCGCTGTTATATTGCATTTTTTGAACTTCCAAATATAGTGATACTGATGCTAGAATCTTGGAATGGGTATTTTAGATGAACTTTGAACATAAGCTTTGAGGACAGCAGAATTACATAAAATGATGAAAATATAATATGCTTCGAGGAATCGCTCTTCCGCAAACATCAAAACAGCAATTCCGCAATTGCTCCCGAAGTTGGAGCCGGCGACCCGACTGAACGGAATAGAGCATTTGACGCTCTATGGAAGTCCAACGACAATATCTGTGACGCGGAAGTCGCGCGCAATGTGTCAGCGCCGTGGTCTGCAATACAAGCTGAAAATATGTACAAAGAATGTTTACGCGTTATCCTCGTTCATTCGCCCGACAAGGTGCAGATCCAACAGCCGCTGCCTAGAAAGAGTTCTACCGACGTTGACACGATCACGGGATCCGACACCTCCAGCAGCTGTAAGAAGTTCACAGCCCAGTGCGGAGTCGGCACGAAGAGGCCCAGGTCTGAAGGATTTGGAAAAAGAGAGCTTTTAAAGCAAGATAATGGGAAACCGACAGAAGAAAGGAACTTTCCAGAACACCTCTG